ATGCTAATGTTCCCAATAACTTGACTATCAGATGCGAACTCACTAGGAAACAGACTCTTGATAAACGAGTCTTTGCTGTCGCTGATTAGCTCTTTCAAGTCGCTGTGAAGAGCGTCGTTGTTCTTGTCGATGAACTGTGCCTGAATTAACCAATCAGAGTGCGTGTTAGATGGTTGTTTCTAATTTGACCAATCAGAGTGCTGAATAATCGTTTATAATTTGACCAATCAAAGTGTGTGTTAAGCAATTATGTAATCTGTCCAATCAAAGTGTGTGTTAGGTAATTGTTTCTAATCTGACCAATCAGGGTGTATGTTAGGTAATTGCTTATAATCTGTTTAATCAAAGTGTGTTGTTTCTAGTCTGACCAATCAGAAGGTGTGTTAGATCATTGATTCTAATTATCACAGTGTGTATATTGGGAAATTGATCCTTCATCATCAGAATTCATCAAGTAAAAAGTAAGGTGGTTATAATGACACAGTGACTTACTGTATGGTAGCACACAGCTCCAGCAAAATGTCKGATGAGGAACCCTTCGTCATCTCTCAACTTACGGTGATACATCAAAGGAGATTTTCTTGGGATCTGAAAAWAAATGTTGCAGTGAGAACCACGCTCAACAAATACAACCGACAAGTTTAAAAACTTACGGTCAGTCTAAAGTGGTCCTTGTGTTTGTTGTGAATCTCAGTAGTGAAGTGAGCAGCTGTTGGTTTGGGRAGYTTGCTTTCTTCGTCAAGTGTGTCGAGAATACCTGTCTTCTTGGACTCTATCAGACCTGATGAGGTAACAACATACATTGATGACTGATTAACAGGTGATTGATTGAATAATGGTTGATTGACTGGCTGAATGATTGGTTAGTTGATTGATTGATTAATTGGTTGATTGACTGAATGATTGATTCATTGATTAGTTGACTGATTGATTGATTAACTGGTTGATTGATTGATTGATTGAATGATTGAATGATTGACTGGTTGATTGATTGATTGACTGATTGATTGATTGATGACTGATTGATTGATCAATTTAATGATTGGTTGACTGATTAGTGATTGATTAAATGATTAGCTGATTGATTGGTTTGTTGATTGATTGACATCTCTCTAGTAAAACCCTTACCAATGCAGTCCTGATTATCCATGTATTTGACTGACTTAACACCCAGTCCCTCTCGATCATACAGTTCTTGTTCCTAGAAAGCAACAGTACTTCAAAATGAGAAATGATCGTATAGATGAGTGAGTTCTCATCATCCCTATTTTCCATTTATTATTCTATTTCAGTTATTTATTCCCAAATACAATGCTCCCAATCAAAAAGTATTTCCCATGATTTTTTTCCTTGATTCTTTTGTTGATAAAAAATGAAATATGAAAGTTGATAACTGATAACATAGTTAATAAAGGGAATGGTTTGGAAACCTTTTGTTGTACTTCTTTTGTACTTCTTTTGTACGTATTTTGAGGTTGAATCAGTAAAGACCGTGCACAACTTTTTTCTTACGAACGATGGAAATTGCAAAATGACTAAACATTAACACCCTCTATGAGATTATAAAATGAAATATTCCAATATTGGTTAGAAATCATTATGCATTTTGAAGAAATAGGCAAAAGAATATTTTTCGCTCTGTTTATTCAGATGTGACCAGTATGCCTAAAACAATCAGTTGAACAAAGATTGTGCACGGTCACGCTTGGAAAAAAGTGTACAAAAACCTACAACAAAAGGCTTCCTAACCATTTCCCTCTACAAACTATACTGATACTGACCTGTTTGAGAATCCTGTCATTGAAGAATTGCTGTAGCTTCTCATTGCAGTAGTTKATACAGAACTGCTCAAAGCTGTTCAGCTCGTAGTATTCTGAAAACATGGAAATCACTCAATCATTACAGTAGTTGACACAGAACTGCTCAAAGCTGTTCAGCTCGTAGTATTCTGAAAACATGGAAATCGCTCAATCGTTACAGAAATATAAGTCTTAATAAGCGAATGAAAGAATGACATAAGGCACAATAAATGAAACAAATGAAAGAATGGGAAGGGTCAAAGGATGGATGGACAGACTGAGTGACGTTTGGGTGGATTGAAGTGAAGTATGGTGAAGTATGAATAAATCAATGAATAAAAAATGTCGAAAGGAAACAGATGAAAGAATGAAACTATAGATGGATGAATGAATAAATGAATGGTTGTATGGATGGATAAACAAACAAGCAAATACAGTCAACTCTCGCTATCATATACGGACACCCTCGGGACCGTAATTTAGTGTCCGCAGTAGCGAGAGTCCGTAGTGATGTACTTTTAGTCATTTCTTTGTATCTTTTGCCAGGGTTTCTCAGTATTTTACTGTCCGCAATATCGAGGTGTCCGTTTGTAGTGGGTGTCCGTTAGACGAGAGTTGACTGTAAATGAAAGAAGAAGAAACTCACCAAAGCCAGCAATGTCCAACACTCCAATGAAAGTAGCAGAAGATTTAAATGGGAAGCACTGATTCACTTGATTCACAATATGATCAAACAGCTTAGTGTAGAGTGCTTTAGCCAGGGCATCACGTGCTTGGCAAGTTTGTTCTTTAGTCAGTGGGACTCTGCAAGATTAATGCCAAAGGATTGAGTTTTTTGGATAGGAAGACAATTCTGTGTTAAGTGATTAAACTTGTGAATGTGCAAATGTTTATTATGATATCTAGAATTGGTGGAAAGTAAGAAGAGAAGAAAAACTGAGATAAAATAAATAAGACAAACAGCTGATAACAAAAAGAGACATAAAGAAACAAAAACAAACAGAAACACACAAAGCAAATGGAGAAATACACAAACAAAACTGAAAAAAGAGCTGCAAAAAAGCTAAAAAAAACCCTGAAAACAAGAACATCAAGCAGACACAAATTATTGATAAAACATGTGAATTCTTTGGTGAAAATTAATGTCATAAACATGCAGAAATATTAAAGCATAAACACTAATTTAATATTTTGGACATAAGGCCATGGCCATATAGTGTGTATACTCAAATATTGAGTGCAAGTGATAATGGTGGTGACATATTGTTCTGTATCGTAATGTTATGTCAAAGAAAAGAAGATTTATGTATTTAGGAAGCGCAGCCAAGTTATTAGTAACTTTGGTTTTAATTTTTTGGTTCTGGTTGTAACTGCAGTAGGCATCAAATGTAAAAAAAGCAGCTGTTAGTTTTGCCTTTAGTTATAGCTTCCTTATTGTCTCAATCTTAGTAACACAAGATAGCAAAAGATTATTAAATCATTTTTAGATCAAGATGCAAATTAATAATAACAGTTTAAACATAAGGTCTGAACTCTCCTAAAATTAGACTCAAAACATTGTTAAATATGAAGCTTAAAAATGGGTATTTAAATATTTTTATCATAAAAATGAAATTTACACATTGGACGACTTAAGCTTTATCCGTAAAACCATGTCCACATATGAGGAAACTGTTAATAGTCAGTCAATAGTTTCCATGCATTTTAAACACTTTAAAACATCCAATTTATTATTAAGTGCTTATCAAATAAATTATCACAAAAATTGTCATACACTTCATTAGCCATGAAACATTTTGTGCCAAAAACATTGCAGTCCTTTTATCTATTCATTGTCAGTGACATTTAAAGATTATTATTAACCATGCAGTGTTATTTAAGAAAAGAAAAAAGGAAAAAAGAAAAAGAAAATGTTAAGAAATGATACAGAACAATATTTTGGTGGCTTGTCGTTGAGGGGTGTCGTCTTGATCAGACCTCATGTCTGCCCCGCCTGCTGACATCATGCGAGTTGTCAACGACATCTGTAGCTCTTCAGATGAGACATGAAGCAGTGCTGCAGTGGTGTTGAGGTCATCCATACTCTTACCAGCTACAGCACAACCACCTAAAGTTAAAATAAACACAACTTTGTGAGTAAAACATTTCTTGTGATTTTCTTACTTATACACTGACAATCCCACAGTGTGAAAGATACTTGCTTTCTGACTTTATCAAACTGCTTTTGATTGTCCAAAACAAATTGAAAACAAACTGTCATTACTGGTAATATCAATATCATGTTGTAATTAGTGGTTTTGTTGTTAGGGAAGGAGTTCATGTCAAAAAGCAATTTGCTGAAGTTTGGAGTTCAGGTTTTCACTAGTAAATTAAAACTGCTTTTTGTTCTCATCACTGCTTGGTTGCAAAGCAACACTAAAGGTTTTGATCACTAGCTTACTTCAGACTGAGCTTGGGCAGCAGTACAAGTGATGGTAACACAAACAAAGCTTAAATGGCTACATATTGTACCTTTTGCATCATCTTTCTCCTCAAAGTCAATGTTTCCAAGATGGAGCACAGCAGAGACAACATGGTAGATGTTGTCTTTCTCTTCTTTRGAGAAGCCAACATTATCCATTGATTGGTCCATACGGTTGAAGTCTTTAACATCATCAAGACTAGGGTCTTTGATGGAGCCTTGCTTCAGGTACTGAAACATCGTGGTAAAGAAAAACTTTAACACAGGATTGATGCTTTATAATATTGAGAAGCATTAGAGGACATTTTCCATATTTCCATTCTTTGCTTAAAACATGCAGAAATGTTGGAAGAATACAAGAAAGGTTTTGATGTAAATAAATAACATTTCCACAGTCTTAGTATTTGCACTCTAGTCTGTACTTACAAAATAGTCCTCAGCTGTTTTAATTTTAAGTTTATCTTTCACGGCTTTGGGTGCTGCACAGAGTCGGTAGAAAACGTGGTAGTTGCGTTCACCATTTGACTGCTTACATATACGAGATTTCTCYAGTAGATAATGAGAGATAAAACCTCCCACGACAACTGTCTAAAACAACAACAACACTAAATAAATATAACTTTCAAAAAAGAGGAAAACAATAGTCTTCTTTATGGTTCCCTGCGCCATCTTGAAAGGTAGACAAGCATTGAGCGTGCAATGATAGATACCTGTGAATAATTGTCCGTAGGTGTGAAAGAAGGTATCTATCATTGCACGCTCAATGGTCATGTTGCACTCAGTGCAAAGGCACAGCGTCCAAGATAATGTTGCAGGGAATTGTGAAGAAGACTATTGTCAACAATGTTCAGGTGGCAACAGGTGATACAACAGACTGTACAGTCTTGTGAGAAAATATAATCTTGATGTATCACTAAACATGCCTACCATGATGTAAATTGAAAACCGTGTTCAATATTCATTAAAGACCTATTTTACTTTTATTACCTAACCTGAACTATAGGAGTCCAGTGTCAATCCATTCATTCTAGCTTATTTCTCATTCTTTGCGAATTTATTCCATTTTAGTTGACCTGAACATCTCTCTGCCTATCTGCCTACCTATGAGTGCAACTACAAAATAAACTTAAGTCAATTATCTCTGA